GTATTGTGCAAATAGGATAAAGCAGCCCCACATATTTAGTATGCACACTGAATGACATATCCTAATCAGATAACATATTTCTAAGATTTATAAGGAGAAAATTAGAGGTCATCTGAAATTAGTTTTACACCAGATATAACAGGACGCACATCTTCCAAGAAGTTCAGCTTCATGTCTTGACATTTTCACAGAATATTGTCCCAAAAATCTTGTGAATAATCAAGATGTTGTTTTTGGTCATCAGTGGTTTTCTCCTTGGAACTCTCCCATGGATGACATTTTTACATGGTTACTTTTGATTGTTGGATCATGATTCAACAATCATTCAAGTGAGGCCTGCAATTCTTTAGAAGTTGTTCTGGGTTCTTTGGTCAGCTCCTGGTTTTCAGTGTGTTCATGCAGTAATTTTGGTATGCCAGCTACTCGGCAGAAGGTCCACCCTTTCCCTGGCGGGTCGCGGAGTATGGGGGTGCCTACTGGGGTCAGCAGGGGAGCTGGCCCCAGGGAGGGGTCCCTTCTTTCCCTCCCCATCTCCAGCTGCCTCCCTCTTCCCGCTCCACCACAACCACCCACACATGCAGGGCCTTGGAGTAGGGGTGTGTCACCAGGGTGCAGAGGAGGCATCCCCCCTTCTGTCCCCTTCTGGCTGCCTCTGCCTCAATTTTATCCCACAACTTAGACATTCACATTACTCACACTCTCATTACACATACATATAGGATCTTGGGGGTGGGCACGATACACGGAATCCAAATTACCATCAGGGTGTACACCTCACCCCTGGCGTCGTTGCCCACCTCTCAATTTTAAATACACGTAGACATTGAGGGCTAGCAGGAGGGGCTATGCGCTTACCTGCTGCTCTCTGGCAGGTAGCTCCATGCCCTCCTGGGTTTTAAATGCACCTTAGAACACACATGCATCAACACTACAATGAGCGGGCGGAGGGAGGTTTGGAGTCTTCACACACCCCCGTTCTCTGCGGCCTGGTGGAGCAGGGGGGCTAGGAGGAGGAGTTGGCCGTCCGACTGGGGTCTGGAGTGTGGGGCCTCCCTGCTGCTGCGGAGTCAGGGCGGTCTGCTTCTCCCCACCGCAGGGAAAAGGGTCACACCACTTGGGTCTGGGTGCAGTTCCCCCCTCCAGGGGCAAGGGTACCTAGACCCGGTTCGTAGAGTACGCTTGGGGAGTGTGATCGTGTGTACAGCGTCTCTTTATGTCTGTCTCCACGTTGGTTGAGTGTGGAGTAAGTGCATATGAGAGCATGAGGGTGGGAATGGATGTTTGTATCTGTGTGTGCCTGTATGTCTGTGTCTATATGTCAGGTTGGGTATCAGACGCCACCTCTCTGGGGACATCTCAGGCCCTCCAAGGTTTGGAGGCCTATCTCCCCCCACCACTTCCCCTGCCGGTGGCGGACTCCCTCAGACATCGGTGCATTGGTGGTTCTTTGTGTCCGGGGATGGGCGTCCAGGTACACACTGGCTCACTCCTTGGCGGCCGCTTATCGGGGCCTGGGGCTCGGTCACTCAGGCACAGCTGGCTGCCGGCGGAGCTCACGGGCGCGTCACTGCAACCCCCCCTGGCTTCTGCCTCGCGGCTGCTGAGTGAACCCTCATCTGGGACTCTCCTCAGCTCTTTCTGGGACAGTGGCGCGGCTGCCCCTCTGTTAGTCTTCCTTGGTCTCTTGTGTTCTGGGGGCCTCTGGATGTCTGGAGTTTTGATCTCCTCCATACCTGCTTCATGCCCTGGAGGACGTGGCAGTGGCTCCCCACACCCTCTAGATTGTTAGGGGGTTTCCCATGGCAAATTGGTCCTGGGTGAGGGAGCAGACAAAAAGCAAATCAGAAGACGCCTATGAGTAAAAAGTCTAGGGAACAGTTCATCCTGCCTGAATAGAGTTACTAGGGCTCTGCCCTGGAGCTGGGCCTTGGAAGGGTGCCCAAGGGCGAGTGCCTGGGCCCCTTTAGGCAATGGGGCCCAGGCTGGTGCAAAAAGAAGGGACATGGGCCCACGCTCCTGTAGTCCTGTAGGGGTCGAGTACAGTGTGTGCCAGGCGGCAGCCAAGGGGGAAGACCGTGGCAGGCTGATCCTGGCTACTGAGGGTAGCGACTGGGATGTGGAATAATTCTGGGACCAGTCTCCTAGAGACTCCTGCATGTACATTCAGGAATGGTTCCGGTGGCTGTATGTTCTGGATACTCGGTGAAGAAAGGGGCTGAGTTGGATCAGGTGGTGGAGAAGGATGCTGGACAGACCTAGCTCACCTAAATGTATATTGAGGGTGCACTGGGAATGTCTGGTAGAGGCCTTGGTCTGTGAGATCTTCAACTCCCACCTTTAGCAGAGCTAAGACTGCATTTCATGGGAGAATGGGGACATTGAGTATGAATGGACCATTTTTACTCTGAGTCGTGGTCAAAAGCTGGTTGGTACCAACAGGCCAAGCGGAACGTGGCTTGAGCAGTGGCTGAAGCAAAAACTCGGGTGTGGGAGGAGTTTAAAGAGTCTATGGAAAAAGGCTGTAGGACTGTGTCGATGAGTTTCTGGCAAACCCTCAGGTGACTCAGGAGGGGAAAGCGGTGTTTTACCTGCACAATGTATGGTACAGGTGGACCGTTGCTTAATTCAACTCAGGATATTGTCAGGGAGTGGAAGGAATACTTTGAAGACCTCGATCCCACTGACACGTCTTCTGTAGGGAAAGCAAAGTCTGGGGACAAAGGGGACAACACATCCATCACCGGCGATGAGGTCACTGAAGAAGTTAAATAACTCTTTGGTGTATGAGGTTTGCCCTGAGTTCCTAAAGGTGCTGGATGCTATAGCCTGTCAAGGTTGACACACCTCTATAATGTTGCGTCGAGATCAAGGGCGGTATCTTATGGTTGGTGGTTCCCCTCTTCGCAAAGTGGGGCCAGAGGCGTGTGCTTCAACTACAAGGGGATCACACTCCTTAGTCTCCCCGCCCGTTATTTGAACCTCAGATACAGGAGGGTAGGTGCAAAACACTGCATCAGCTCTTTACCCTCTTGAGGGTACTTGAGCATGAATGGGAGTTTGCCCAACTAGTCAACATGTGTTTTGTGGACTTGGGGTAGGCATTCGACCATGTCAGTTGGAGAATTCTGTGAGAGATGCTTCAGGAGTATGGTGGTTGGTACCGACAGGTGTCTGTCAGGGCGGTTGCTCCGAGCCATTGGATCCTTATACAACTGTTGCAAGAGCTTGGTACACATAGGAAGTAATTAGCCACACTTGTTCCCGGTGGGTGTTGGACTCTGCCAGGACTGCCCTTTGTTCATAAAAATTATGAAGAATTGGTGACACAATTTGATGAACTTGGGTGGTCTCAGAATCTCACCTCTACAGAACCACATCATCTGCAAAAAGCACAAATCAGGTGGTGGCCTCCAGCTCACTGGAGTGGTTCACAGCCGAGTGTGAAGCGGCAGAAATGAGATGGCACCTCCAAGTCTGAGGCCATGGTCCTCAGTGGGAAAAGGGTGGAGTGCCCACTCCAGGTTAGGGACAAGTTGCTGCCCTAGGAGTTTGTTGGGGTTTGCAAGTGGGGGGAGAGGGGACCGGGAGATTGTTAGATGGATTGGTGCTGTAGCTGCAGTGATGTGGATGCTGGACCTATCCATTATGGTAAAGAGAGGGCTGAAGGTAAAAGTGAAGCTCTTGACTTACCAGTAAATCTATGCGCTGGTCACCTATGGTCACCAGCTTTAGGTAGTGACAAAAAGAACGAGATTGTGGATACAAGAGGTGGAAATGAGTTTTCCCTGAAGGGTGGATGGGGGAGTTCAGCCATCTGGTAGGGGCTATAAGTAGAGCTGCTACTCCTTCCACATTGAAAGGAGCCAGTTAAGGTGGTCTGGCATCTGATATTCCATGCCATGTAAGGGAGGTGGCTAACAAATGCACCATTCTGTAGTCGGTATCTAAGCCATTCTTATTAATGATCTTACTGAAGAGGGAGGCCTATGCAGAACAACAGTGGGGGTAGAGCACTTCCTTGTTCCTTGTCATTTGATGGTGACTTGTGTTATTGGCTTGAAGTCCACCTCTAGTGTTGTTTGCCACATCCCAATTGAAATCCTGATACTCTAAGAGTCCTGTTGATTTTCTATACTTCTAAATTTTCCCGAATCCATGTATGTGCATTGAGTTGTAGTTGAGGCTTTCTTGTAGTCAATCTAGGCAGTGCACAGGTTGGTCAGTCTGGTCTTACAGTCTCAACCAACTGCTCACTCTACCAGTTGCTGATGTTTTGCTCCTCTTGCATTTCTGCCAATTCTCTTCTGTGCCCTGTATTAGTATTGACCCATGTGCCAGTTCAACTTAGCCACTATGATGGCTGACAGGAGCTTCCATGTTGTGCTGAGACAGGTCCCTTCTGGGGAACCTTAGGGATCAGGACTTTTGGGCTTTTGGTTAGCAAAGGCCCAACACTTAGCAGCTGGTTCATTTATCCATGGAGAAGGAGAATGTGTAATTTACTCATTGGAAGGTTAGCAGTTCAATTCCTAGCTGCTCAAGTCTGTGTGCCAAATATCCTTGGGCAAGATACTAATCCACTACAAGAGAGTAGAAAAGTGCTATATAAGTGCTATATAAGAATCAGTCAATTTACCATTACACCCTGATTGGATGATTGATTTGCATATATGGACTGTTATAGGCTTCCACCACATATACATATAGGCAATACTTCTACTGTAGCTATATCCATCCATTCTATGATAAATTCAAATGAATCTATCTAGATTCTTACATTCACATTTGATTCCACTTGCTCTCAAATTGGTATTTGCACTGTTCAGAAAAGACCTCTGGCTATTGTACTCATCTAATGTGTTGCGCATGAACTCCATGCAGAATAATTATTGAACAAATGCTATAATGTCTGAAGCACTTTTTTATTAGACCACTTGTGTAAATATGGCTGTGTCTTCCCTCCCACATATTTCCTCTCCCATGCATTTTGACCATTGCTTCCTCAAAAAAAAAAAAAAGTCAAGTAGCTAATCATCTCACTACATGTTACCTCTGCTAAGTAGGTCCTATGTGACTGCTATAGTTCACATTTCTCGTGCCATAAAATATGGCTAAAGGTGGAGTAACAAAGGTGAACAATAACAGAGATTTAAGTGATGCAATTAGAGTTTGACCTTCTATGGTGAGGTTGAAAACAATGCAGGAAGGCAATTACATATATAAGCCATGTCAAAAAAAAAAAAAAAAAAAAAAAGCAATACAGTGATTTACTCAAAGAGGCCACAATTCAGGAGATTGTGGGTTTGTTTATGGTAGCTGGCTGAGAAGGTGGGCGAGCGTTTGGGTGGGCATTTTCCAGCGAGTTAAATCACAGGCTTGAGATATAACGAGTGGGTGGAAGGCTATACATGATAGGACAGGCAAGTGGGAGAAGTTAACCAATAATTAGACTACTAAATTTGTAATCTGGAAATTATTGTGAGGATGGTGAAGAAATGTTATACTCTCTTTTGTAAAAATGATTTACAGGTTATTGTATCGAAATATTAATGAATCAAACTGCCTCCCTCTATGAAAAGTCAGAGCCCTGCATGTGTTTGCTCAGCTCAAACAAATGCAGAACTTCCACGAGTCAAAATCAGTACCTTTACATGTTTAATTATTAAAAGTGATCTATTGAAACACAATAGATTATGACAACAACAAAGTTTACAAATGAAACAGAAATATTCCCCTAGTCTGTTGCTTGCTCTGGAAGATTCATTTAAAACTTTTTAAAAAGTTTAAAAAAAAAAAGAAGAATAACAGGAAACATACTTCACAATGAACACTCAGAACATTCAATATAACAGTTTTTTTCTTTTTCTAGACATCTTCACATTAGAGATGAGTGATTCCATTTGTTTTAATACAAAACAGGGGGCTGAAATCGATTCACAGCTTCTTTAAAAGCCTTCACATAAAATGGAAAGATAGGTTACTACTGAGTCTCTTCCCTTTTTTATGTTTTTCTCAAAAATGTCTTCCATCAAAAAGAAGTCAGTGTCAGTACATGACATTTTTTTCCAAAGTCACTAGGCATCTCTGCGTGATTTCTCTCAGTGTTGAGTCTGTATGACCGGCACGCTCTTGATCTCTGACAGAACTGATCATGGTCATAGAAATACGCAAGTAGTTTTCAAAGAGTTGGTGGTTGGAGTTAGGTACATATGTGCATGGCCACCTGCTTTTTCAACACCCTTATCCAGAAAATGTCATGGACAACATGAAGTCTGAAGCTACACACAAAAAATTGAATAAATATGCAAACCCTCAACACCAGAATACAAACATAGGAAAAGTCCAATATACATACTATATGTGCAGTCAGTATACACTGGTTTAGTACAGCTGTTTTTGCTCATGGGGAGAGAGAAAATAAACCAAGAGTGTTGTAAAAGTCATGCGGCAGCAGTAAGTCAAGTGTTTTGCTCATGAGGAAGAAACATGTCAGATGAGAGTGCTGTTAAACCTGAGAACCTATGAGTCATTTAAAACGTGTGAATGATGTCCCAGAGTGGAAGCCAGCAGTCACTTCAACAAATATTTGAAATGTATTACACACACATCCTTTCCTTTATTTTGTCTTCTCACTCTTATTTTAGGAAGTGAAATGACACATTAGCTGCAAAGTGAAACTGTGGTCTGTCAATTGAAAATAAAGGGCACTTTCAGATGAAAAAAAAAACTGATAAAAACGGCTGCAGCCCTTTTAGTAACTAATTTCAGATGACAAAATATTACATTCAATTAAGTAGTTGCTAAAACATACAGTCAAAAGAGATTTTCAGTTCTTTAATCCATGTAATGCTTTTCCTCATTGGTTGTTTAAAAAAAAGAAAAAAGAATCAGTTCCTGTAAAAGCACCAAACATCTTTAAATGCTGCTTTTAAACGTACTCAATTTCAAACCTTTTAGTTCCTGTGTCATTCCTCTCCATAAATAACCAGAGCTATAAAAATGTGCTACTCTCCAGAAAGTTCATGAGTTCACTACATAGGAACATACTGTGTTAAAATGCAATAACACAATTCAGCATTAAACTAATATTTTTCCTATAAACATGATGGTCATTGTGTTTGATTAGAGTCTGTGGTAAAGAACTAATACGTGCGTAAATGCTCTCTAGAGTCACTCAGCATTAGAGGCGTACTATTTGAGTTTCAATGAGGCTGTATTAAGTTCACAACTGAGATCAGCGTTCATAAAGTCTGTCAGTTGCCCCTGACAGACTACTCCAGTTCCTCTCTGTGCTCCATGCTAAGATCTCTCCTTCCCACTCCCTGGCTGGACAGCTGCCTCCCCCTGTCATCTTCCTCCTCTCCATCCTCTTCCTCATCATCCTCCTCTATGCCTTCCTCCTCCTCTTCCTCCTCCTCTTCATCCTCTTCCTCAGTGCCGTCCATTGAGTCATCGGCTCCGAGCATGGCTTGCTGCATGGCCAGGGTGGCTGAATCTGAGGATAGTGACTGGAGACTGTCCATACTCAGTGGGTCTGAAGCGAGGCCAGAAAGAGGGTAGGGAGAAGAGGGGTTATAATGTGACAGATACATTTAAAAAATAATAATGTAGGCAGAGGAAGATAGACCTTTTTATTAGTCTGTGCATGCTTCAGTATTATTTGGAAATTTCACTTAGCCAATATTCAGAGTGGCTACAGGGCCAGAGACTCAATTTTGGGAGCCACCTGAAAAAACCCCATCCCATATGGAAAAGATATATATAAATCTTATAAAGTTTGTATCTGTCTTGTGTGAAACTTGTATGAAAAGCATACAAGAGTGACAACAGATATAAGATCCCTTGAAAAATTATATAAATGAAACTTGTATGTTTTGGATACTTCCTAAAACAATATCTGAAAGTAATGAGAAAGTGGCCACTTTCACGAGTAAATTATATAAGCCTTATATGATTCACTATAGGAAGTAGGCCAAATCTTATGCAAGTCTTTTATAAGTTTTTTCTATTGCTTTTCCATATGGGATCCTACACACCAGTTTGATCAATTTTACCTTGCAAAACGTTACGTAGACTTTGTCTGCCACTGAAATTAATTCTTACCCTGCCTTTTATCTATATTTGCACTCCAGTAGGGAAGCTTTCTTTTACTTGTCTATACTCGTACCAGCTGCAGTACTGTGACAGGAGATAACAAATTGCATAAGTAACTGAGGTCTACAACCTACCATGTAGCAGTAAAAGAAAACTATTCCCAAGAGACTTGTTTGTACACATGAGTGCAGGCTGAGCTATTGATTGATTTAGGACACATTTTTAAATAAACTGATAGTCTAAAAAAAAAATTAAACAAAAGAATGGTAATAGTGCCACCTAGTGGTTTGGATTCAAGCAGACACGCTTTTAGTTTGTTTATTTTTTTGTACAATGTGTACAATTTTACCGTTTATCAATATTCCCTCCAAATTCAAGTACATATCATAGCTATAGTGATCACTGTAGGACAAACACATCATAGTCAAGCAAGCAAAATCACAGACATTAAATTTAGACTGTATCCCATAACAGCCACAGTTGACGGCTGCTGTGTTTCTGCTGTTTGTTTTTACTGTTTCTACTAGTATAATTGATTGTGTATAAAAATATTTTTCCAAACACTATATTTTAACTGTATTTTAAGAGATGACATGTAAAATTTTAAATGTTCATGTATAGCTAGAAAGAGCTATTTGTGATCTTTAAATTACAAGTAAGCATCTATGGCTGGTAAATGGTAAATAGTTCTTATATGGCACTTTTCTACTCTCTTGGAGCACTCAAAGTGCTTTACAAAACAAAAATCAAGAAGACATTAAAGAAAAAATGAAAAAGTAAAGGATTATTTAATGCCCAAAGAAAGCTGTTTGCTTTGCTTTTCTTGGAAAATGTAACTGTTGGCATACTGTCTGAGTTGCTTCCTGTCTGAGATCTGTGCGTCTGCAATACACCAGCCACAATAGAGTCGGGCCAAAAGCGCTGTGTTGGACGATGCTGGGACTTCATCTTCTTCGCTTTAGGAGCCGGGTCAGGATTACTGGCATCTAACATAGGCTGAAGGATACGTCGACGAGCATTGATGAACCTGTGAAAAGACCAAAGAAGTCATATTAGGAAAAGTAACACCTATGAATCCAACTTAATTACTCTGCATGTCTTTCACATATCTAATTAGTTCTACTAAAAAGTACCGAGATTTAAAATGAAAAACAAGTACATACAAAACATTGAATATGACCATCAACACTTCAAAATGTTATCATTTGATTAAACCATACCCTAATGAAAAATTTTAATGCACTTTTATATCAAATTGTCTTTATTATTTTTTTCTCTCTTTCTCTCTCTCTCTCTAAGGATAGACTGAAAGTCAGGACCCTCCACAGTACCATGGGAAGCTAGAAGTGGCTGACACTGTGAAATTCTACTTGTGGAGAAAGCTGGACTGAAAGATAGCACTAATCATGGCAGCACAGGAACAAGCTCTAAGCACAAGATCCATAGAGGCTGGGGTCTATCACACCAGAAAAGACCCCAGGTGGAGGTGTAAAGATGCTCCTGAGACAATTCTGGACATAACAGCAGGTTGTAAGATACTACTAGGTAGAGTATACATGAAATGCCATAACTAAGTGGCTGGCATTGTATAGTTGTACATTTGTGCTGAGTATGGTCTCCTCTATATCTCAGAAGGTTGAGCAAAGATCCTGTGGGATTTCCAGATACAGACACACTGGTAATGACAGCTGTAGTGATAGATATAGCGATGCCAAGTGGTAGCAGTATCAGGAAAAAGGAACACAAGAAACAAGAAGAGAGAGAGGGAGAGAGAGAGGGAGAGGTTGTTCCACCTGTACTTGGTGTATACAACCAGGAGATGGTGCCACTGTATCAATGATGTACTCGGATATGCCAGCATAGTCAAGTTCAATTTAAAGCTTAACATTCATGCTCTGTAGAAGAAGGGCCAAAGTTTGTTCGATCTGATGTGCAGGCTGAGGTCTTTTAGTGTATGTAGGACCTTTTATGACACAGTGATTGCTACTCCAAGCTTTTATATGGTTGTCTGCTGGGGAGAAACAGTACATGGATTAAAACGCTGATGAAGAGAGCCAGTGCGCTAGACTCCACAGAGGAAGTGGGTGAGAGGAGGATGTTAGTCAAACTGATGTCTATTATGGACAATACTTCTAAAAGACTGTGGGGACCCTGAACAGGTCCCTCAGCAGTAGGACAGATCACTGTCACAGGTCCTTCATCCTGACAGCAGTCAGACTATATAATACCCACACAGGATAAATACTGTTTAAAAAATGCATATGTATACATTATCACTTCCACTGCATTTTAGCTATAAATGTGTGCATATAATAGCATTTTGGCTTTTTTGTACACTATTTTTCATTTATTTCGATTAATAATTTTCTAAAATATCTCTAAAATATCTTCACAAATGAATTTCCCTTGCGTCGGATTAATAAAGTGTATATGTCTATGTCTAAAGAAAACTTTGTCTTACTTTTTTAAATAAGAATATGAAGCCGTGTTTTGCTTTTACACATGCACATGAGGCCTTTTTTGGATTACAAAATCTTACCAGTTGTTTACTTGCAAGAGAGTCAGACTTGTTTGTGCTGCAATCTGTCTTTTCTCATCTTCTGTTGGATATGGGTGCTGCAAGAAGTAGGAAACGACATTTCAGTTTTCAAGCAGTTTCCAGCTGTTAAAATGGAATGTGCCGCACCATAATTATGTTAAACACTGAAAAGTCTTGCACTCAAACACAGTGTAAATGTCTGCCTGCGTCTCACCATGAGATGCTGGAAGAGCCAGGAGCGCATGATGTTGGTGGCGTGTTTGGGCAGGACTCCCCTCTTATTCTTAGACTTCTTGTCTTCACTGTCCAACAAGGAGGACAGGTCCACATTTACCTTTATTCACAGACAACAGAAAGGAAAGAAAGAGGAAGAAAAGAAAAAAGGGAAAAGACCATAGGGCTTAGTTATTGTTGCCACGGAAACAAACTCAGACTACCAATTACCTTTTTTTTTTCCTATGGCAAGGGCAGAAACACCTCCTCAAGTGTCACCATGGTAACTGAATTTGAGTAATGATACTTAAAATATAAAGAAGCAGTACCCGTGACTAGTCTGTTATATGTGTGGTGCTTGGACTTTGAGTTTCACAGTTTGGTGTCGGTGAGCTAGAGTGACGCTGATGCAGAGTGGGCCTGTGTTTGCTTGGATTTTCATTGGTGTTGACCTGTAGTACACCAGCCTTTGTGTTCAGTGAGAAATCATTATTCAGATGTTACTGTTTGGAGTGTGAGTGCTGAAGGACGAGATGCTCTCAGACTATTGACAGTCTTTGACAGCCTGCATATGGATGTGTGTGAGTATGTGAGTTCATGTCTGGCTGAGACAACTAACTGCAAATATTTTTAACTGTTGTAAGAACATTTAGGTTTGCTATTTGGCGAAGAAATCATTTTTATCACACTCATGCTTAAGATAAAGTTTGCACATGGCTTATTAGATAGTAAAGGGAAAACATCTAGTGATATTCTTCATTATTATGTTCTAATTAATGATAAATAATTCACTATTTCTAATTAAAGCATGACTTATATTGTTTTGTATTTTTTCTTTTTTTTCCCCCCCGTGGTAATTTGGGGCTTTTTAATAATTTCTTTGAACTGTTTTATTTTTTATTTTTTTGGGGGGTTTTTTCAGGATGATTGCACAGCATATAAAAAACAAGTATTCAATATTTAGCTCAAACATTTACATACATTCACTTAAATCTTAAAAAGTGGTGCTCAGGGTTCCATCCATCTTCATCCGCTTAATCCGGGGCCGGGTCGCGGGGGCAGCAGCCTAAGCAGAGAAGCCCAGACCTCCCTCTCCCCAGCCACCTCCTCCAGCTTATCTGGGGGAACACCAAGGCCAACCGAGAGATATAATCTCTCCAGCGTGTCCTGGGTCTGCCCCGGGGGCCTCCTCTCGGTGGGACATGCCCAGAACACCAACCACAGGAGGCGCCCAGGAGGCATCCTTGTCAGATGCCCGAACCACCTCAGCTGGCTCCTTTCGATGTGGAGGAGCAGCGGCTCTACTCTGAGCCCCTCCCGGATGGCCGAACTTCTCACCCCATCTCTAAGGGAGAGGCCAGCCACCCTTCGGAGGAAGCTCATTTCCGCCGCTTGTATCCGCGATCTCGTTTTTTCGGTCACTACCCACAGCTCGTGGCCATAGGTGAGGGTAGGGACGTAGATCGACCGGTAAATTGAGAGCTTTGCTTTTACACTCAGCTCCCTCTTCACCACGACAGACCGGTGCAGCGTCCGCATCACTGCAGCCGCCGCACCAATCTGTCTGTCGATCTCCGGCTCCCTTCTCCCATCACTCGCGAAAAAGACCCCGAGATACTTGAACTCCTCCACTTGGGGCAGGAACTCATCCCCGACCCGGAGTTGGCACTCCACCCTTTTCTGGCTGAGAACCATGTTATGAGTGGCTGTGTGCAGACAGGAATAGGACCCAAGGTGCAGACTCCGGAGACAGATGTGAACTAAAAACAGCTTTAATGTTAAACTCAAATATAACATAACTGGGGGAAAAAATCAAAATAAACTTACATCGGAAAACTGACAGAACACACAGCTAGGTAAACGGTAGATCGCGACACAGACACAGAGAAACACAGGGCTTAAATACACAGAGGGAGCAATCAGGGAATGGGTAACAGGAGGGAAACACAGCTGGGGCAAATTAGGCCTAACGAGACAAGGGGAAGCAAAACCAGATACATTCACCTCAGACAAGGACCTTCAAAATAAAACAGTAAACATGACACAGACTGAACTAAAGACACAGACTCACACGCACTGCAACAGAGGGAACAGAGACGTGGGACCAGGGCAGACACAGACACTGACTGGAAACGGGGATATAGCAACTAAGGATACACAGAGACGCGAACTAGACAAGGGGATACAGCTGACAGGGGAGACAGAGCAACTAGAGAAGACAGAGACATAAACCATAAGACAGAACTCAAAGAAACCAAAGACTAGAAATTATAAATAATATAATAAACTCAACAACCCTGGGTCAACGACCCAGGCATCCTAACAACTTGGCCTCAGATTTGGAGGTGCTGATCCTCATTCCCGCTGCTTCACACTCGGCTGCGAACCATTCCAGTGTGAGCTGGAGGCCTTCACCCGATGAAGCCAACAGAACCACATCATCCGTGAAAAGCAGAGATGAGATTCTGAGACCACCAAAGTGAAAGCCCTCCACCCCTTGGCTGCGCCTATAAATCCTGTCCATAAAAATTATGAACAGAATCGGTGACAAAGGGCAGCCCTGGCGGAGCCCATCACCCACCGGGAACAAGTCCGACTTATTGCCGGCAATGCGAACCAAGCTCTTGCAACGGTTGTATAAGGATCGAATGGCCCGTAACAATGGGCCAGACACCCCATACTCCCGCAGCACCTCCCACAGGACACCCCGAGGGACACGGTCGAATGCCTTCTCCAAGTCCACAAAACACATGTAGACTGGTTGGGCAAACTCCCATGCACCCTCAAGTATCCTTGAGAGGATAAAGAGCTGGTCCAGTGTTCCGCGACCAGGACGAAAACCACATTGTTCCTCCTGTATCCAAGGTTCGACTAGCGGACAAACTCTCCTTTCCAGTACCACAGGCTAACCAAGCCCGATAGGACTCCTTCTTCAGCCTGGTGGCTCCCCTCACCTCTGGTGTCCACCATTTCGTTTGGGGATTACCACCACGGCAGGCACCAACCACCTTGCAGCCACAGCTCAATGCAGCAGCTTCGGCAATGGGGACTCAATGTCCCCAGCTCTGCCGGAGGTGTGCGTTGAAGATCTCGCGGACTGCAGCCTCTGCTATGCGTTCCCAGCACACCCTCACTACGGGTTTAGGTGCACCAGGTCTGTCCACCGTCCTCCCGCACCACCTGATCCAACTCACCACCAGGTGGTGATCAGTTGACAGCTCAGCCCCTCTCTTTACCCAAGTGTCCAGAACATATGGTCGCAGGTCTGGTGATACGATTACAAAATCGATCATCGTCTGCGGTCTAGAGCGTCCTGGTGCCACGTGCACTTATGGACACTCTTATGTTCGAACAAGGTGTTCGTTATGGCCAAACTGTGATTTGCACAGAAGTCCAATAACAAAACACCACTCGGGTTCAGATCAGGGAGGCCGTTCCTCCCAATCACGCCCCTCCAGGTCTCGCTGTCATTACCTACGTGAGCATTGAAGTCTCCCAGTAGGACAACAGAGTCTCCAGGTGGAGCACCTTCCAGCACCCCACCCAGGGACTCTAAGAAGGCTGGGTACTCTGAACTGCCACTTGGCGCATAAGCGCAGATGACAGTCAGGACCCGTTCCCCGACCCTAAGGCGCAGGGAACAAACCCTCTCATCCACCGGGAAAAACCCCAACGTACCGGCAGCAAGCCGAGGGGATATTAGAATACCCACCCCAGCCCGCCGCCTCTCACCAGGGGCAACTCCAGACTGAGACAGAGTCCAGCCCCTCTCCAGGAGACTGGTTCCAGAGCCCAAGCCATGCGTAGAGGTGAGCCCGACTATATCTAGCCGGTACCTCTCAACCTCACGCACTAACTCAGGCTCCTTCCCCACCAGAGAGGTGACATTCCATGTCCCTATTGCCAGTCTTGGCAGCCGGGGGTCAGTCCGCCAGGGCCTCCGCTCCTGGCCGCCACCCGGCACACAATGCACCCGACCCCTATGGCGCCTCCTGCGGGTGGTGGGCCTGCGGGAGGATGGGCCCATGTCTCCTCTTCGGGCTGTGCCCGGCCGGGCCCCATGGACTAAGGCCCGGCCACCAGACGCTCGCCCTCGGGCACCCTCCCCGGGCCTGGCTCCAGGGCGGGGCCCCGGTAACCCTATCCCGGGCAGGGTAAACTGTTCCCTCGATGTTTTCTCATAAGGGTCTTCTGAATCGCTCTTTGTCTGGTCCCTCACCCAGGACCAATTTGCCATGGGAGACCCTACCAGGGGGCAAAAGCCCCCAGACAACATAGCCCCTGGGATCCCCGGGACACACAAACCCCTCCACCACGATAAGGTAGCGATTCATGAAGAGGAGCTCAGGGTTCTACAGTCTATTTTAACTTAACAAGGCCAAGGTCATTTGGGGGGATTTATTTGACAGCAATAAATAAAGAATTGTAGATTTACACAAGTTGGAAGGCCTCCTGGAGTCATTAAGTTATTAATACAAATTATTTAGATCTATCAAATGAGAGGAAATTGGCTAGGATGTTCAGAAATAACACAAAACCCATTAATGCCCAAGTATGCCATGAACTGAAAGCATCCCCAGAGCAAAAATAATTGATCATTGCTCTGGAGCTATTTTGCTGCTAGTGCTACATTGCACAGTGCTACATTGAATAATGAAGTTCTAGGACTACCTCCAAATTCTAAACTTCACCCCAAATGAACAGTTGGATGGTTGAAACTTGGGCACAGTTGGCTTTTCTAATAGAACAATAATCCTAAAGATCAAAACTGGTTTTGAAATACATGCAGTAGCTAACATTAAATTTCTGGAATGGCCTGCCCCAAACCCTGACCTAACCCTATTCAAATCTTGTGGACTGTGCCTAAAAGCTCAGTCAGTGCCAAGAAATCAACCAACCATTTTCCTAGTATCATTCATTCCTACTATTTGGAGCCGTTTCAGTCCCCAAGACAGAGTATATTTTGTATACAAATGGGACATTGCTTGTTTTTTTCTATTAATAAATCTAACACCCCCATGGGTTAAATCCTCCTGACTAGGTCCTCTCATTGGTCCTCTAGTTTCATGTAAGTTGTATATTTTGTTGGAGGAAAATCATTATGCCCCACTATTATTAGGTTCCACGCAGAATAGTGTGGAAAGAATCCACAGACACGGAGATGCTGACCCTCACCCACCTACAACCCACATAATGCCCATAAATAGACATTCACACAGATCCCCCCTCATTCTCCCAACACAAAACAAGACTCATTACAGTTGCAGCTGTGTGTCACGTGGCTCCTTCTGTCCTGGGAGTGTGTGTGTTCCAGGAGAAAGCGAGGTTAAATTAATTGGCAGCACCGAGCCTCAGAGTGTGATTACTCGGGGCTTGTCGGCAAAGTGGCGAAGGGGCTGTGTTCAATTCCCAGCACGCATGTAGAACTCAGCACCAGCTGGGTCACTGTTACTGTCACAGAATTACATGAAACTGAGCCACTCTTCAAACCAACACAGAACACTGTTAAATTTCTCTGCCCCATTTCTTTTCTTTTCCCCCCATTCAGAAAAGGCAAGTGTACAGCCTGTTGATTGGCTCTGCTTGGAGCCTTGGTTCCAGCATGGAGCCGTTCTTTGTCATAAATTTGTTTGAAATCTCCCCAACAACAGAGTGGGTGGAGATTGTTAAAGTAAACCTTAAATTCCAAACACAATGAATTTGTAATAATTAAACTGCTGTTCATACAGATCGATATATAGCCTCTTACACCCACAACTCTATTTTCTGTAATAGTTATGCTATGAAATCACAATCAAGGTTAGATTACCGCTAATGCCAGACACACAATTTATTAAGAAACCACATTTTTTTGTTCATGTTTTTATGTTCATCCAACTTTCATCCAATATATTTTGTCTGTTCTTCAGCTGTTGGTGTCTTAAGTCTTTGTTGTGACTGTATCTTGTACATAGACATAGGAAGGGTTCAAGTACCTGATACTCTATGCTTTAGAGGAGCCTTTGTACTCCTTCCCAAACAGAGATGAGGCGCTACACAACAAAAGAAAAGTCATAAAGGTTTGAAAAGGTGATAGTCCTCTCCTACCTAAACCACTCAAAAATTAGTCCCTGGGTATCACTCCTACAGTAAAATTATGATGATAAAGTATTTTTGCCTATATAATGACTACTTTAAAAGTCTTAGAGAAAGACAAAATGTTATACAGTATGAGTAATTTGCCAGCTTGTAGGAAGGCTGATACTGAAGGCTACTAAAGAACCTAATACTGAATGTCCTAGTCTTTTATATACGTCATAGTCAGTGGCTTTAGTAGTAGTAGTAATACTATGATACTGTCTGCTTTGTTTATGACTACTTTGGTTAATTTCTTGTGCCTCTCTGTATTTTTTCTTGTATATTATGTGCTTCCGTGTCTATTTTTGTAGTTGTCATTATGTTCTGTCTTATTTTGATACTTTTCTTGAAACCATTTTGTTATTTTGCCTTCAGGCCTTGCCTGTTTTCTCTCTTTGAGTGTTCTCTAATTGTTGCCCTGAATTTAAGAACAGTAATATATTACTGTTAGGATACTCCTTTCTCAGAATGATTTGTTGATTCAAATGCTACGGTGAGGGTACTGACAGAGACTAAAAAGAGAAATCATTGTTAACTTGTTAAAGCAAATATCTAGTCAGCCATACACTCAGTGGCAGCAACTCAGTACATTTAGGCATTTGCATTTGGGTATGGTTGTGGAACTTGTACAATTGTTTCACACTTGAACAATTTCTCAAGGTGTTCCAACTTGTAGAAATCTGCAATTATCACATTACTGATTCAATGTGAGGTAGATAATAAGTGTTTTGTGACTTGTAGACTAAACTGACTTCCAAGGTGCACACAGAAGAGTTGAAAGAGGCTAAAGCTCTGGCAAATTTTAAAACAATTTAAAAAATCATCAGGGTAAAAAAACAACTTTTTAGATAATACATTTTAAATAAGGCTAAAAAATAAGATATCCCTAACACAAACATAAGGGAACCTATAATATACATTTGCACGAGCCCTTCTTGTCTAAAATACTTCATCTATTAATTACAAGGCGTTTTGTCCTAAACATACAGTTTGGCTAACTAATTTGACACATTGTCCGCATTATTCTTATGTTATTTACTGTGCATAACAGCAAGCTTCAGTGTTAATATTCCATATGATATTCATCACTATTACTGTGTGGATCATCTGTTCACTTTTTGGCATTCACTTGTGAGTCAACAGACCCTTCCTTTGAAGGTTCTGTTGCCTTCAGAGTAATGATTTTCTAAAATAAGTATCCTCATATTTACAACAAACCAACAGTCACAGAGCAGGCATACAGCAAATGTCCCAGCTATTCTAAACAATTCCAGAAGCTTTTTGACAATCTAAATTGAACTAAAATACTAAAACCAGAAATCTGTCCCTGTGCAATAAAAAAAAAAATTCAGTCATTCATACGAGTTTCTAAATCTTTTGGCAATAAAACATTTGTGATCCTAATATTTCCTGTTCATAAAAATTCTGAAATATTTTACTTCTGTTCTGTTCACATCTCAAATGTCCTGTACTTTTTGTTTTTAACAAAAGGTTTTTGAACAATGAAAAATGAATGACTAAATGAATTAGTCTTTTGTATGAGATCCGAGATTTATTTCTTGTATCTACCTAAATCACATCATCCACAAATTTGTCTTTAACTGATATTCATCTGCAGTGGCATGGTATCACAAAGGCTCCCCAAACATCAGGGGAATAAACAATTTCTATTTTGTTTAGCAGCAGGAGGCTATGTTCAGACAGACAATGAAAAGACCCACTGGGGAGGTCTGAGAGATGTAAAGAACAAATTGAGACCATAGGTGGTGAGGGCACAAGGAGGAGTGACAACGTTGGCCAGAAAGCATTGTGGTTCAGACAGCTTTACCTGTGAGTTCTGGATCTGAATGGTTCCCGGAGGCAGCGCCTGAGTTAACACTTGCCCTTGCGATGTCACCATGGCAACTGGCTGGTACAGGGTCCCACCTGAGGGGATAATTTGCTGCCATGAGTATCAAGTGTCTTCAGCAGCTACTAGAAGCCAGATCCTACACTAGCACCAGAGCTTATTAACTGCTTGTCAGCCTTGCAATCAAACACACAGCAAACAAGAGACTAAATGATAAATTCAAAGTGCATTACTGCCCTTTAACCCAGAAAAAAAAACACAGAGAACAAGGAGAAGGAGGAGTGTGTTTTTGCTGCTGGCTTAATTAGCCTTGATCAAGACACTCTTATCACAGTCTGTTTGAGCTCTTCAGTATGTCGTGATCAAAGGGAGAGACATTGATTTATTTTGGGTTAAAAGGGTTTTCCAGAGGGCAGGATTAACATTTCACTGTACAGGCTTGACATTACAAGAACCTGCCAGCCAAGCTCTCTGTGATGGATACTTATCATGACCCTCTGATACCAGCTATACAAAACACAGCCACAAACATGTAGCTAATGATATGTGTATATAATAGCAATGGAATAGTAAACGGCCACATACGTGTACACTGATTGATCAAAAGCATGCTAATGACTATTTTTATTTGTCATTATGCTCAACAAACAATTGAGTTTTATACTAATAATATGAAAATGCTTTATAATGATAACCCCAAAATGACGCAAAGAAAAAAGATCAAAGTCAAACTGATAAACACAATGCAAATAATAAGAAAAGTATTCATTTGAATATGATAGTTATTAAAAGTCAGGAAATGGTGCTTTGGATAGCTGGTGTCAAATATTTCCTCTGATCAGAACGAGAGAGAAAATGTGGAGTACTATTTGAAAGTGTTGAGAGTGATTGGGCTAAGGCTCAGGTAAGTGTGCAGAAAACAACAGAACCACCTATGCGATTTTATTTATTTATCATTAGCTGTATGTCACTGACTGTCCCAAAATCTATGGAGACCCTATTTAGAGGTGGTAGTTTACTGAATAAGTTACACTGAGTTTTACATTTTTGTAGCACCTCTTCTTCACACATTGGGTCATAGAGCCATATGGAAAAAAAAGGTCGATAGTGTCAGGCCAAATTTTGTTTTATAGTGCTCATGTGAATTGACACGCTTACCCGAGACCACTTGAGAGTTGATGGTGGTCATGGCGACATTCCCCTGTTGCAGCCCTCCAGCAGGCACCACAATCCCTGAAGGGTTAACAGAGCTGGAGACAGAGGTCATGGATGGAGAGGAGGTCTGAATTAGTTCCTGGGGGATAACAGAGGGAAACACTGGTGAGCAACTCTAAGGGGGGGGAAGCTATTGCTTGTGTGTGATAACCAACAGCAAAATTTACCTGCTGATGAATGGCGTATCAAGGGAAACACTACATTACTGCATTATTACGCTAGGTACCATTAAGGAACTCTAAGCTCCACGGTGGGTCCATCACTGACCTGCTGCATGCTGAGACTGGTGTGTGACGGAGAATAGGGCCCTCCGAGGTCATTACGGAGGAGGTTGTCGCTGTGCATCTTGGTCTTGAGACAAGTGATGTAACGGTTGCAGAAGTCCTTACAAAGCTCATTGACCTTCTCTAGTTCGAGTAGGTGGATTCGCAACACCTGAATGGCCTTTACCATCTGAGAGCAGCAAAGACAAAATATGAAACAGATCACATTCACCTTCTAAAACACTAATGACTTTTAGCGAACACCTTACCTTTAAAACACCAGGTTAACAACCATGAACAGAAGAATACGTTTGATGTTGGTCTCATGGATATTGCTGGCATTTGGTTTTATTGCAATTTATGTTACAAAGAATCAAAAATCATTGGTAATGGTATTTACAGATGCAGACTGCTGACTGACCTGCATCACTGATCCGTATATATATATTAATACATTTTGGAATAAATGCAAATCTTCTGGTTTCTTGTTGTAATTATTTAACTTCTGGTACCCATCCGTAATGCTGGGTAATGTCTTTAAAACAGAGTCCAGGTAACAGATTAAAAAATCCTTAATACGGAAGACCCACGGGGGCCTGAGTGACTCAATAAACATTTGGGAAGTGCATCACATTCAGTAAAACAAACTTAAAAAACATCTGGAGCCTTTCCACTCAATGTCTGTGGACTACAAATGTTTTTACATTAAGCATCATCATCATCACAGTAGTGTGTGAGTGAAGTGTATGTGTTAAGGCTGTCAAGGTTTAGTTCTATTTAGATTAGTTAACAAGCTGCCATGTTCTTCATGCTCTTCTAATTTTACCAAGACATGCATACTGCACTCTGGCTGTAAGATTAAGTTTTTCTCGGTCTGCAACTTTGCAGTACATTCCTATACAGGGTTCTAGTGGCTGTGCTTTTAAGATTACATATCCTGGTTAAGTCATTCACCAGTGTCTTGGCAGTTGTTTTGGGGTCTTTATACACATCTCACTATTTGTCTTTTCAGACTCTTTAAATTATTTCACTTGCTAACTCTGTCATGTTTGGTCTGTAATTTCTTGATGACACATCTCACTCCAATCCTTGGCACTTGGAAATGCTGTGATAAGTTTGTATATCCATTTCTTCCTTTGTGAGCAACTATTTTCTCAACTGTGAACTCATTTTGTTTGTTTTTTGTTTTCCTTGTCAGGTGACAGCTCAAACCCTTGCTGAAGTTTTTTTTCTGTGTATGATTTGGAAGATAACCCTCGGGTTTAACTTGATTTTACAGCATTACAAATTTAAAGCGCATGACTGCAGCGCAGTGCACGGTGGTTGGTGCTTAGTTTTTCAGGGTACTCATAATATCGACCCAGCTAAATTTTTGTTTTTAAATAGTTATATTAATTTATGCAAGTAGAAATACTGTATGCTTTATAAAGAAAATAATTATATTTAGAAGTTCCATAAGAAGTATAAGACTTTGAAAGCCATTTACACAGTTTTCAATAGACCAGTGTCTAATATTTAACAACTCCAATTCGTTGCAGTTGTGTTGCTAAGGAACAGCCTATTAAAGGATAAACTGCTGACAGCTACTGACAAGAAATGAGAAACATGTTTTTTGTTTTGCGTTGTTTTTCTACTAAGTTATGATCTGTCATTGAGTGAAATTTGGTTTGTTGGTTTGGCTGAAGTGACAACAGGAATCACTGACAATATATATATATATCATCAGCTGCCTGGCTTTTCTTCACTCTGTGTAATACAAGATGGCACACCTTCAAAGTTGCCACCCAAGGTCAACAGAATGGTCAGAAAAGCACTTGGCCAAGGAGGAGATAAATCAGCTAATTAAACTGCACTTGCTTAATCAAGGGACCAGTAACTCTTGTCCTCATCACAGCCAGTCAGGCCCAGCGTAGCATTACTGCCCTATGGAAGAGTTAGTGTCCTCTGGCAGAGACGCCTATTCCCATTACCTCATAAAACACACAGATGCAGGGTTAATTGACTGTTCAGCACTTGTCAGCCTGCAAGTACTGTAATGAGAAGAGTGCACTTTTTTCCTAATTCCTTGTCTGTGTCTTTGTGTCTGTCTGGCTTCAACTCCTCCCCCCCTTTTGTCATAGAAGATTATCAGCTTCCTCCTTCTCGTAATTTATAATTATTTCTAACTGTTGTGCACAGAGAAGATGGGAAAATTACTTTAAAAAGGACTGAATACTTGGGAATAGCAAAAATGGGATTCAATGCAGACACAGAGCCACATCTGTTAAGATTTATGTTACAAAAAAGAGGTTCAGGAACAGAAAAGTTGGCCGCCAGTAGGAAGACAGGCAGTAATTGCTTGAAAATGCTTAATTTTAGTGAAGTTTTTTATTAGTTTTAGTATTAGTTTGAGTCTTTAAATTTTATTGTATGATTTAGAAAAATCAGTAGAGGCCTTCGAATACATTTTTTTTAAAGTTGTTGACTCAGTCTTGTAAACATCCAAAGTCTCAGTTAACACACCCATTAATGCCTCATCAGGCAAGCTGTAATACAATTTTTACCAAACTAACAAAAAAAAGAGAAAGAGAATTTTTTCTCTTTATTTTTATATTTCACAAAATCATTTCATTTAGTTCTAGTTTTATTTGAGTTAAATAAAAAGTTTTTAGTTTAGTTTTAGTTAAATAAAAATAACCTTGGTTATGGCATCAGTCTGCACTCTGTTTAAAAGGAAAAGAAAAGGGTGAATTCAAAAATATATTCACAGTCTATTCATACAAAAGCATACAAAACACAACAAGACAGAATAGCTGTGGAAGTGACAAACTAAAGTATTCTTAAAAGAAGTGGAGGACTCTTCGGTGTGTGAGGGAGAAAAGGTTCCAGTTAATGTGTGTTCTGTTGCATGGTTCATATAATAATTGTAGCTGTATGTTTATTATAGGTTTTTCATTTTTCTCTTCTTTAAATCACCTCTGTTGAGTTTTCTGAACTTTTTTAAGAGTTTTTTTTTCTTTTTACTTCCATTGTTCTTTATTCAACCTTTATTGTGAGCATCTTTCCATTTGCTGGTGTTTCCTGAAGTTGCAGTACATGCAGTGTATGACCTCTTAGGGCTACTGCAGTTATAGTTGTATATAAAAATATAAAAGGCAGCTGTGGCTAAAAAGGTAAAATAGCTCATGTACTTATTAAGGATAATAAAAAAAACTGTACTCAGAAGGTAAAAAAAACAGTAGAAATTACTGCATTACGTATTAATTACTGTTACATATTCATTTAAAAGAGCATCGGTACCAACAGTGCCATCTTCAGACACGCAACTTCACACAGCAGGCACACTGACCTTCCCCTCATTAGGAGCTGTTTCTCACAATAACACTTTGTGAGAAATTTTGAGAGGTCACTAAAGCTCCCATTTGAACAATATTAAAGTTTGACCAGCATATACACTAATGTTAGCTTTTTCAACTATTAGCAATTACCTGATAGCAACCTTAGCCATCTGTTATCATTAAAATAGCAGCTAGCAACTGGCTAATAATAGAACCTTAACATTAGTCTGCAATGTTAAAACACTGTGTTAGTTTAACAGGATAACACCATTATTTGTATCTAAAAAGTTCAACATCAACTGAGAAAAGTTTATCAGATACTCCAACAGCCTACTTTATACATTCTATTGGATCTGGACCTGGATCATCATCTGGATCAGCAATGTAAAATACATAAATATATCCATCCATCCATTCGCTTCCGTTTATCCTTTTCAGGGTCGTGGGGGGCGCTGGAGCCTATCCCAGCTAGGGCGAGAGGTGGGGTACACCCTGGACAGGTCGCCAGTCTGTCGCAGGGCTAACACATAGGGACAGACAACCATTCGGCAAGACACTTCACCCGTTGCCTACTGGTGGTGGTCAGAGGGCCCATTGGCGCCAGTGTCCGGCAGCCTCACCTCTGTCAGTGCACCCCAGGGCAGCTGTGGCTACAATGTAGCTTGCCATCACCAGTGTGTGAATGTGTGAGTGAATGGGTGAATGTAGTGTAAAGCACTTTGGGGTCCTTAGGGACTACGTAAAGTGCTATACAAATACAGGTCATTTACCATTTACAGTGTATAAGGCAAAAATAGAGTCTGTACAAATAGTATAGTGAGCTTGAAAATTAATATTTAGAATGACAACCTTTATTTTTCGACAGTCTTTGGCTAACTTTCTTGTACTTAAGGAATTGTTCCCCAGGTTCTAAAGTTATTCTTCATGCACTGCTTCAGTAATGTTGAGGTCTGAATTCAGAGGACACCGATTCATGACTGATGCCATTCCACGGTGTCTTCTCTTTTTCCCCCAGTACTGTATAAACCTCAAAGTTACACATCATCTCATGCTAAAAATGAAGCTGTTCTCAATCAGACACTTTCCAGACAGTATTGCATGGTGGATCAAAATTTGATGAGATTGTTTCTGCATTCATAATTAAATCAGTTATGACAGGATCCCTAACAACACTTACCAAAATTCAACCCTAAACCATGTCAGTACCTCCACCATCTTTCAGAGATAGCTGTAGACATTCACTATTTTACCACTATTTTGCAGAAATGAAGGATGGCGCAAAACTTTTGTAAATTACTGTATACACAGTTATGCTGTGTGTTAATTTGATTTAACACATGTGATATGTTGACTTACCAAGTTGTCCAATTCTGGATCTTCGCTAAAGAAGGGTTTATGTTCTCGTTCCTGCTGGTGCACAAAGTTTTCTATGTCCACATCAAAGCTGGCTGACGTGATGCATTCAGATCCCTGTGTGGCCTGTTCACATTTCTCAAACAGCAATGCTAGCAGGGGAAACAATGGATGCCTGAGGAAAAAAGATAAAGAGGCACAGTAGGTGTCAGTTTCTAAAATTGTTAATATTATCTTTTCTGCTGTGAACAGAATCTTTCTATAAAGATCAATATAATCGCTTGAAGGTGAGGTCAGTGCTGAAGAGACTCTCTTTTCTACCACTCTAGTTGTTAAGGATGTCTTAACTACATAAAAAAACAACTCTAATCTTCACTTAGTCCATCATTCAATCAAATTTCAACTCAATTTAACCTATATAATGCCAAATCATACCAACAATCACCACAAGGCACTTTATATTGTAAGATAAAGATCCTATGATAATAAAGCGAAACCCCCAACAAATAAACAACCCCCTTTGAGCAAACATATGGTTATAGTGGAATGGAAAAACTCCCTTTTAACAGGAATGGACCTTGCAAAATCTTTGACCTTTAACTTTAAACAAAGTGCTTCTGCTATTTTGCAGCAGCATGGTTTAATTTTAGAACCGACTTGCACCTGCATAATACAATTGAAAAATTCAATTTGTGTTAATTTCAGTCACTTTATCTTACATCTTGATAAAGACGTTTTCCAGTCAGAATGCGGACAACTATCAGTTGTAACACCTACAGCCCTGGGCTGAGGGCAACTCCTACTTCCTGGAATAGAGCCCAAGTGTAACCCAACTAGAAAATTGTTCTTTTTCATAACGTCATATTGTTTTTCATGTTTCATAATCATAATGTTTTCATAATGATAACTGTGTGCAACAAGTAGAGGTAAGGCATTAATTTGGCACACCAATGGAAAATAGTTTTCAGTAAGATATGCCCATGCTTCTTTGCTCATAGCTACTCCAGGGTGAGGTGGCAGCACATTGGAGCACCGTAACCTTTTAAACATTAAAGCTTACTGTCTAAAGGAGACATGGAAGTCACTTTCGTTTATCATCAACGGGTAAGAAGAGACCAATCAAGTCTCCAGAAATTAACATTACAATTTCTAAAAGATCCCTCAGACCTCTGCAGGGAGCGTAGGAGAGTCTAAAGTTTTTCAGTCACGAGTTTTGTCTTTCTCTAATGTCCATCAGTAACAAATATGGATTTTTAGATTTTTTTTTCCTGTTGGTAGCACCTATGTTGTAGAAGAATACCTGTTCAATCACTAAAATTTAACTTTGATCTGCAAAAGCTAAAGCGATTTATATGTCTTCTATATTTTGCAATGGGACAGGTGATTCATTTTCTGTGTAAGAATAGTCTGTAAAATCCTTTTAGATTGATTAGACTGTAGATTGCTAAGTGGTTAGTTATATTGTATATTGTTATAAGACCATACAATAATACAGAGAAACCCCCAACCCAACACATGACCCCCTAAGAGCAAGCATTTAGCAATCTGCACAAACAACGCTAATGCAACTAGAAGCGCAGAACCCGAGAGTGATGTCAAAGCTAAGTCTGTCCTGACCGTAGCCAAGCAGAGCTTCCACTTCAACAGAGGACATCACTACTATCATTGCGATAGTAGTCATGCTTGGTTTATTTCAGCCTCCATTTCTATCTGTAACTGGTTCTACAAAAGACTAAATAGTCTGGTTCTTATATAGTGAGCATTCAAAGCACTTTATACAACTTACATCATTCACACATATGTGTTTTCTAACGTTCACACTATGAATGCATCAGAGACCAACTTGGGGTTCAGTATCTTACCGGAGGATACTTAGAGCAGGTCTTCTATCAATTGGAAGGTTGGCGAATCAATATCTGCTCCTGTTTACAGTCTGCAAACCTCTCTTCTAAGCTACATGGCCACAACAGTTTTCTGCGATGTGCTCTTTGATGAAGTTTACAGGTTTACACTGTTAAACGGTAATTATATGGCATCTCAGGTCATGTTAAAATGTACCCCAAAAAGGATGTATGCAGCAGTGTGACCTGGGCTCATGGCCAACTAACTCAAATGGCAATTAGCCAATGGTACTGTGAACAATTTGCCACTCGATACCACATACGCACACATTAGACTTGTCAATAGGGACAAGAATTTAAAACATATTGTAATATAAGCTGTACTCCAAGGACTCCTAATGCCCTTGTCCTACTTTTAACAGTGTGGTAGCTCTGTGAAGTACTTATAGTGGACAGGATATGGTCCAGTAACGGCACAGGGCTTCAGAGAGTTATCTAAATTGTTCCATTCTGTCTTTCACAGAGAACGACATTTGGATACTGTACAAGGATCTATAGTGTGCTGCTGTATACAGTACATGTTACATTATTGAACACATCCACTCGCCCCACCTTGATTCCAGGGGTACTTGGGAAGACAAATGGATTATAACAAAAATTTTGTGTAGCTAATTATACAATCCTAAAAGCTGCTTACACATGGCATATTTTATATTCATATTCCATGGTTTTAAATGTACAACATATATGTGAAGGCTTGGGGGAATGGTGATGCGTTTACTGTTTTAAAATACGAAAAGGCATTGATTTGATTGATGGTGTCTTGTATTTACTACATGCATAATAAATACTGCTTGGAGCTAAAAGCCACATTTAGGAGTGAAGAACTTTCATTCTTACATTTAAGCACATTTATGTAGAATCTGAATGTGGCTGTATAACTTTTAAATTAATATTGATTGCATAAAGTTTTGTTTCATAAAGACACAATGATGATGAAAATTGATGCAGTATACTTTTTAATTCCATTCAACTGTAAACCATACAGGCAAACATATCAATCACAGATCCTATCAGCTTTCACATAATGATGTAAATGTTGATGTCCCTCTGGGTACAAGTGGCAAAATTTGGGTGGAGACATCTAATATTTTATTTTTAGTATTTTCTTGATTCATACCACAACAAGCAAGTACTCAGGAAACTTTATAACAGATATGCAAGTTACAAAAAGTTTTCATTTTAAGCATCATCAGCAATGTTATAGATAAAGTTGTAAAACAATAGTAATGGGATTAGTTATTGTTGCATTTGACTTAGGAGATGCTAATATGCAAAGTGGTTCACTGCTATGACTTACAGAAGCACTTAATTATACTCATTCACTGTCTATATAAGTCCATCATACTTCCCGTGTTAGCTTCTTTTGGTTTACTTTTATACTTTCTCCCTTCTTTTCCTATCATTGTAAAAATGACTGTATTCAATATTTTCTCTCCGTTCTAATACAATTTGCAAATTCTGATCAATTTAATTTATGTTTTAATCTGAAAAAATATACAAACACACCGTTCGGCCTTAAAGGTGAAGTTGTTAATGTTTTGTTTTTTAACCATCACTGGTTGAAAAGTAATAACCCTTGAGAATTAGAATTCAGTGTCCTTAGCCAAGGAGCCTCATACTGGAAATGTTTAATGTATTTCTATTTGCCATTGAGAATCACACAAAACTGGCACTCCACATGGAGTTCCTCTGGAGTCAATTAGTGGTCGTTTGTTGTTTACTTTCAATATAGAACTCAGGATTGCGGTTTCACCAACAAAATACATTATGGGACTGTTCTTCATGAAAGTCTGAGTGAATGGATTAGTGGAACATACCAAGATAAAGGTATGTAAGTCTGATGTCATTAGCCATTTCTGGGTCCAAACTCCTCTTCAGCTCTGAAAGTCAAACGAACACTGCGGCATCACTGAGAATTACAAACTGTCTAAATTCTTTCATCTTTAATAAAATGATCAGTGTGGCTGCTCTACCAGGTGTAACAATTAAGTTTAAAATCCAGGTATCCATGAAAACAAAATTTGTGAAATTTATGAGTTAGAAGTTAGCTCACTACTTTCCACCTAAACATAACATACCATGTTCTGACTGAGGGATTTCTGAAAAAATTATAACGTACAGCTCTGCTATCCCTTCTGACATAAACGATGACAGGAAACTAAACAGCAGGGATGTTTGTAGGGTTACTGAAGTTGAGCTAGCTGGTATATAATGATGTGGTACACGGTGGCTAGCTACACACCTACAGTGGGGCAAAAAAGTATTTAGTCAGCCACCGATTGTGCAAGTTCCCCCACTTAAAATGATGACAGAGGTCAGTAATTTGCACCAG